AAAATTTCATTATCAGAATCCACGTGGCACGCTTTTAAATGAAATTAAACCTCAAGAACCGTGCATATGAACTGAACCGACTCCGGGGCAGAAGTTAGGACTAAGTACCTGAAAATTGTTCCTTTTTCCTGCTACGAAGTAGCATTGCATGCAATGATGTAATTCACTAACTTGATAACCAGATGAATTTCAACTTAAAATTGTTTTTCTTAACATTCTGAGACCAGTTTGCATATCACCTTATTTTTTTGCTCCATTTCAGGGCTAAAATATTCAAGCGCTGCCACTTTTGATGGCTTGATAAGCCAGTTCTTTCAAGAGTGTGAAACTGTTAGTGTTGTCCGCCAAATATTTCCCATCAAATTTGATCATTAATGAGATTTACTTCTCAGTTCCTTCAGATAGGGAAATACCTCTTTACTGCTCCCAAATATGTGCGCCTAATTAGTAGTAGTTAAAGTAGATTACTCTACCATGATGCGTAAATGCGAACAAACGTTAGGACAAATTATACGATAATGTGTTGACTTCTACATAATTATTATCATTTTTAAGAACTCCACTTTCTAAGAGGAATATTCAGTAGTTACCACCCTGCATATTTCGAATATCATTCCCCATGTTTTCATTTATGCTAATAAATAGGAGATGAGGATTTTCGCCTCATATAAATATGTTGAAAATTTTTTTTCATGGAAAGGTGGATATAATCGAGACAGTATGGGCATTTGATTGCCAATAGAAATTTAGTTGAAGGAAATATACAGTTATACAAATAATGATCGATTATTAGGCATTTGGAGTCGTCACATTGAGCCAGTCAACTCCTATTAAAGCATTTATTCTACCTGTGTTTCGTGGTTATACCTCCGCATTTATTATTTTGGCAAACAAATCTAACCCCTCATTTTCTGGTCTTCATTCACACCGTTGTCTCTCTTCCTCTCTTATAATATCGTAAGTATCAAATCCGCTAGTTGTTCAAACCAAAATAGTAGTCCTCTAATGTTATTGAAGGGGGTTTAAATCCTTCAGGAAAGACGTCAGATTTCAAAAGGTTTAGATTTCACCAAACTCATTCATACTCTTAGAGTAGTTTTATCTGTTAGCATTAGCACCATTTTATGCATGAGCACGCGATTAGCAATATATCAGCGTAAATTATTGCCTGTCACATCCATATTCCCTGTGAAATTTGGATTTATAAACCAACTTTTCACAGTATTTACAATTAACCACAGATGCCTTTATTATACCCAATTTCCTGGTTTGAGGTATGCATTCACGAGACATATATACAGGATTTTGCCATAAAAATGTCATTCATTCGCAGATGAATTTTAATTAGACATATCCAGGGTAACGTACCTTCAGATAGATCATGCGCAGTGCTCATGATTGACTCTACATTAAAGTGTTTTTCATCTCTGTTCTGTCTTTAACCCCTGATAAAATTTTGTTCTCCTCGCAGATGAGGGAAGGAACACTAAATTTGCAAAAAGTGGTGAGGAGGAAGAGAATAGTGATTCATAGATGTAAAAATACAGACAGACACAAAGGTAGAGTAAAAGGTAACGTGAGTACTATGGAAGTTGTCAAATATGACATACAGTGGGGTCATGGTGGTTTGAAGTCAGAAGTCAACTGCCTGTTTATTGTCCGTCTTGTCGTATAAGTATACGTTGCTCAGGGTGCACCACGTGTAGATACATCTATCGCACACTCACATGAGTAATTGTAGAAATTAATAATTAACTTATGAAGGCAAGGTTTTGTTTGAATTAAATGTATTTCAAAGTCAATTTTTAAGTTTTGGGAAAATATTGGACTTTATTCATGCCAAACGCAATGCCTACTTTTTCTTCTCCTTTCCACCAGATCAAAAACCACGTCTCTGATCAAGTATTCTATCTATATTGTGCATCTGATCAGTTAGCCTTTTCCATTCTACATTGATTTCTCTGCATGATGTGCATCTCTCGTCGGCACTATCAACTGGAAAACCGGACATTCACGCAAACAATCTAATGAGTAAGGCAAACATCCCACAACAATCGCTGCTGAAATTGTCTGATCAGATTGTTTTATTATGAATACAATTACTACTTCCAAACATTTAGTTAAATGTAAGTTTGGTTTGAGCCTAGTTTGAGAGGTAACGAATTGGAAGCTGATTCAGGTAACAGTTTTCATTTAAAATACTCGGAATCTGGAATGATGAAAGTGTTTGGGCTAGATCTCAGCCAGTCTATAATATTACATTAAATCTAGTAATAGTAATCGAACCAACATGCCATAATGTATTTCAAATTATTATATTATTATTATATGTTCAAGCAATAAATTCGTATAGAAATATGTTTTTAGTAATCTTGAATTTACAAAATTAGTCAACTCTGTTCCTTATCTTCGCTGATTTTGCAAATTTCCGTTTATTTTTTTGCGCGAACATCATTATTGACGATCATTTAAAATGAAAATATTTACGTCAGAGGGGATTAATCCTTTTATAACTTCCAGGTCATACAAATAAAGATATATTTATGCTTGGTTGCTTGCAAAATTTCATGTGCGTCACGTTGAAATTTTTACTTAAGATCTAGCGTCACGTGCGCTGATAATGAAAACTCAATGTCCTTTTACTCAATATGTAGTTAAGTTAATTTAAGATTTTATTATCTAATCTCTAACCTGATTTGTTTTTTTCGTATTAAATTTTATTTATTTATGTTAATTTATATTATATTTTTCGAAAAGAATTGAACTGGTTTGATTAACCAATCGTCTATATTTCATTAGAACCTGTTCTAGAAGAATATACTGAGTCGTAAAGTTCGTGTTACTCAAAATTCGAAGATTGCACTTTTAAGAATCATTTAATATACTTTTCTAATCAATATTACTAAACTCCTATTTGTGAGTCTTCATACTGCTTAATGGTAGTAAATGAAACCATCTAAACAATTTTACTTAATTATGGTTGACTGTAGCTTGCGGGAACACAACTTAAGCATAACTCAATTAGACACCTCCCTCATCCAATCAAAGGCTAAAGTCAGGATGACCAATGAATCATCTAAGACAGTACGCGATTAGCCGACCAATCAATGTCCCAAGTTATAAAGTGATTATCGTGACAGAAAGTACATATTACTAAGTTCTCCGTCCGTAATCGGCCACTTCCCAAATAAATATGTTTCACGTCATAAGTCTGTTTCCTCTATAGCTTTTCGGTAGCTTAGCTAATTCTGGGAGCCTTTCCGAACATAGGAGAATCTGCTATAGAAATTACTGAGTATAATTAAGGCTTATTAGTGTAGCAATCCACTACAGGCTCTACTTTGGCTAAACAGACATTTGCGTTTTTTCGTTTCTGCCAAATAACTTTTTGTGGATTTCAAAAACTATTTCTAGGATTCAACTACAATAATAATAATATTAACAATAACTTACCAAGCACTCTTGTTAATTTCGATTTGCTTAATGTTGAACGCGAGTGAATTTCATTAGCTTTAATAGAATAAAGATGAATTGAATATATTTAACGTTAATGCTTGCAATAAAATGTACTTTTCCATTATGAAATCATCTTGAAAACAGCAATTTCATTCTATTCAAAGAGAGTGATTCAAACCACCAAGACTTAATAAATACGTTTTCACTGCTCGAGTGCAATTTTGACTCTTGGAACTGAATTCCCATCTAATCCGAAAAACGCTCATCCCCTTTGACAAAAAGAAGTGGCTAAATAAGTCCTTTCTGTCCCACAACAACAGCTATCATTCTGTGCGTGCTCTTTTTTAGCTCCTTTGATCGGGTTACAAAATGTATCCCCCCCCCTCCTCGCAATGCCTTTCCCAATCTGAATAATTCCTCGAATTGCCATGCACCGAAAATTTTGGAACAAGTTTGCCATATTATCAAATTCCTTGTCCTGGTTTTATGCATTCAATTTGTGCTTTAATGAAATTACTACAGTATGTGAAAGTTGGGTTTGCCTACTATAACTAATTAGAGTGAAAACTGTGGAGGCTATCATTAAGTAAAGGTGTGATCAGGCACGGCTACTGCGAAGGTTCTTTCAATTGAGTTATAGCCCCACTCTGAATAGCAACTTTTAAAAGAATGAAGACATTGCTCTCATTTGAAACGTGTGATTAAATCACACTTATCAGTGTTGTGGTGGTACTAAAAAGCATCGTTTAACGATTTTTACTGCTTAATTAGTAAGTGATCGAAAAATCAAATCCTTTCAAAGGTCTAATGACCATTCGGGGTGCAAGCAAGTGTCGAGTCATGGGCACTCCATGAACAGGGAAACTGATCTTTTGAGATCAAGGATGGTGAAGGATCAGTGCGGATATAAGTACATGGATTGACCTATAGGTATTGATAAATTCTCACTTAAATATCGGGCCCCTTATTAAAAACCCCCAAGAGAATTTTGCTTTTAAAGTTGCAAGCTCGTAAACGTTTTGCTTTAATATTTATTTTTTCAATTGAATTAGCTTTATGGAATATATATAATAGCAATTTTTACCTCAAGCGTGACTTGAAATAATTTCACGGTCAATTTTCCTTATGTATCTCCAATTTGGATTCATATAACTATACAAAGCTATCTTTTTAGAACAAAGTCCATACTTCTCCTGCGACATCTCAAACATCTCATTTTAACTTCACATTAATTTTTTTCATTTTCAAATTATTACCAAAATACCACTTTTATTGTGAATTCAATATTAGTTAGTCTGTAATACTTTCTATCCAGTTTATAAAATCGCATTATTTTCAACACTAACACTTGGAAACTTTTAATATACCACCTTCCCAATTTCAAAATAATATTTCGGAGGTTAAGATAATTATTATTGATAAAATTATTAAATGATTAGTATACAAATATGCATCGGTATAAATGCTCAGACATGGGGAATGATACAGAAAAGATTAAATGCTCACATGAAATGGAATAATAAAACACAGGAGCATACGTTTTTTCAAACAAAAGCTTCATCACTACGTCTGAGGAACTGAGGCATATGAGCGGATATTCGTTCCCTCAAGCTTTTTCTGCCAGTAGATTCTTCTGATCCTGAGCTAACAGATGAATTACTGCGGGTGTAGGCCGCCCATCGTTTTGCCTGAACTCTCACCAACTTTGCAAAGTCAACAAATAATTCCGTGACGCCTTGACCACTTAAAGCAATTGTGGGACTGATAAGATAAGGATTTCTGATGGGAGAAAGGCTTCTTAGGCTCAGGAGTTCTTCCAGCTGGCTAACTGAGAGGGCGTCTGCAAGGTCCTGTTTATTTGCAACGAGAGCAACTGGGACTCCTGCTAGATTAGGATCTCGGATGAGAGCTTGGAGACAAGAACGTGCCTCCTGAATACGACACACGTCTGCCGAGTCAACCACAAAGACAAGGCCTGCAATGCCTTGAAGGTATTGACGCCAAATAAGTCTGAGTGATTCCTGACCTCCAAGGTCCCATACCACAAAGGATACTCGTGTTCCTGGAATATGAACCTCATCCACATTGAAACCGATGGTTGGTTTAACTGTGGTATTATTTCCAAGGTTCATACTGCAGAGGATTGTAGACTTTCCTGCGGCATCAAGACCAAGCATCACAATACGTTGTGGTTCACTGTAAGGTCGCAATTTGCATGCCGATTCAAGTACATTGCCCATTGTGAGAAACGTTTTTGAGCTCAGATTAATCAAAATGAGGTTTATACTTGGGGCTCTGCTTATATACGCAGTGCTGACAAGGCCATGTTTTGATTGGCTAGTGGAATCACGCTAAAGGTACGTGCTCTTCACTAGTGGGTGGAAAGCGCCAATTGTGATTTCGATTAAGTTTTTATATGTAAAAATACATTGAGCTCTTGTACTTGACTGTTGAGAGATTCCAAAAAAATTAAGAGCGTTACATGCTTTAACTGGGTCCAGTTTAAGGATTGCATATTTAAATGTGTAAGCTTTAAGAACCAAAAATAGTTGTTGTGTTCACGTCATTTTAAGGGAATAAAGCAGAAAGTTGAACAAAAGAATCTTGAAGTACTGTTTGCATAGTATTTCGTAATTAAGATAACTCGGTGCATTGCACCTTTATTTCATCTTTGAAACTTCGTGTTGTTTTAAACATTTTCTACACCATCAAATGTTCTCGAAACTCATTTAGTTTACTCCTTCAGAATTCGAAAGGCTATTGTTTAAACTTTTCTAAAAAATTAATTCATTAACAAATCGATTTCATTTTTTTTAAACAGTCATATTTAACTGAGGTGGTAGTGATAATATTTAAAATAACAGTTTAACCATGAGAAGAAACTTATCTTTGAGACGTGGTGTGTGCGATAGACTTACCTCCACGTGGTGCACTCTGGGTAACGTAAATTCATACGGCATAAAAGTCTATAAACTGGCAGTTGAATTCTGACTTTAAACTACCATGACCCGACTGTATGTCATATTCGGTCCCTTCCTCCGTACTCAACTTACCTTTTCTCTGCCTTTATGTCTGTCTGACCATTTCACATCTGTTAATCATTATTCTGTCCCCCCCCCCTCTCGACTTTTGTCACTTTGATGTTCATCCTCCTCTCTGTGAAGCCCGAAATCAACTAAAGGGCTTATGATAGCTATCAAAACGCCTGAAATTTAAAATAAATAAATCTTCGAGAAGTATTTCGTATCCATGATGTCGCCAATTGCAAGTTTATTCTTAGCCAAAATACCGCATATAAGAAATGACTTCGACAGAGGATTCGTAATTTCATAAAATTTGTAAAATTGACGCCTCCGTTAGAGATATTCCTATCTTGAGATATATATGAGTGCTTTGAGACTTCGCTTTAAAGGTGAATGAGTGACAACTAGGTTTGATTTTTTTCTCAAATAAAGGTCTGTATTTTTTTAATTTATCAAGCCCTCTAGGAGGAGAATTCACATTACTTCACATGGACTGAGAGAAATTTAGGGTCCGTTTTATTTATTAATTCCGCATTCCGTAGACCAGTTCAAATCCAGGTAATAACATGACGAAATGAAGTTCTTCTACGTATGGTTAATTTGTCTTGTCATATATGAAGTAATCAGAGTATTTCCTAGCTATCACTTTCCTTTACTAATTATCCGTTAAAAACATGCAAGATGCTTGTTTATACGTATTAACACTATCGAACTTTTTTTGAATTTGAAATACATTAGATATGATAATCTAGAGTAGTAAACCTAAGTTCGAAGTTCTAGTTGCCAATAGGGAACGCTAACCATAAACACCGCAGCAAAATTAACCACACCGAAAAATTGGATAGTAGCGTCAGCTTCGCTTTTTGTGCAAGAAGGTTATTAGCTAAAATGGGCTAAGCTCGTCGAAATGGAAACCGTGACACTCATGATTGGAGGTAACAACAGTCATAGGATTTGTAATTTCACTTTGATAGCCTTCTTTCCAGCTTTCGACCGAATGGATGATGTTTTAGATGTCATTTGAATGGAGATTGTAGGAGAATTAGAATTATCGTATAACAACTGTTTCGATGATTTTTATCAAAGTGCAGAGAAAAGAAATAGAAAGTGGTGTGAATACTTAACTTGCAAGGTTAATATGAAATCCTTGTCATGTACAAAAGCTGTAAAAGTGTGTACGTTAGATAGGATAGGGTCACTAATGATGTGTTTTTCCAAAAATGAGCAGTTTGAAATCAGATTAGGTAATTTAATTAAGAACACAAATATGAAACTGGCAAAAAATAAAGTCTCGTGGCAAGAAGAGATTATGTACGTCTGAGAGAGAAAGGCGGCCTTGCGCTGATGTTGTTTCATCCTCATTTGTTTCATCCACTTCAATCCACTGTACTTGCTGTGGCTTTTAAATGCAGTTTATTTTGACTTATTTATTGCGCGTGAGGTTACGTTCAAGAAGTGGGAAGACATGACGGTATACCCTTAGCAAATGCGGTGATCACAGCGTAATAACTTTTTTATGCTTTGTTAAAAATAGACTCGCACATTTCATCAGCAGTTATAAACTAGAAGTAATAAGGAGTTAATTATTTAAAGCCCACTGCGTCAGTCTGGAAAGGAGAAACGAAACTTAACGATTTTATATGTTAATTCTATGTGTTTGCACTATTCAGATCTTTAGGACATCAAAGACATTTCAATGGAGAAATAAATGCTACACAGCCTGAAACTTGCATAGCTGTTAGACTAACATAATAAACAATCAAAAAATTTTAAAGCAAATATATGAAGCCATTTGAAATTTTTTAATATGATGTTAAAATTTTATTCATAAGATTATGTTGTTCTTGGTGAATGAATTTACCAGTTGAATCCCGACAGCTTGCCACCTATAGGTAGAAATTTAAAGGCTGCACTTGCAAACATTTTCTATTTGAGATTATAATTGCATTAACATCATTTGAACGCTATGTAATTGATTGAAAAGTTTATACTAAATTTGCTAAAAATAAATTTTGGCCTTGTAAGGACTTTGTGTTACAAGTACAGTATTTGATTAATTGAAGGTTGGAATTTGTGACTATCAAATTCGTATGAAATTCTGCGCATTATGAATCCTGCGTTTGTCCTACTCATTGATGGGCTATCGATGTGGAAACAGTCGGCATTGCGAATTTTCGAGTAGGATCAACTAAGATTGCCAACGAAATCGTCCCATTGCATTCATTTGACCAGGGTTTGGATTGTTCTCCTCTCTACTTATATAAAGCAGTAGGCGATACCGCAGCCATTGGTAGGTGTGGCTGAGATGCAGGCATAGGCATATTGAAGGCGTGTGTGTGTGCAAGTCGGTGTGTGTGCACGTGTCGGCATAGGGGTCGGGCTACTTCGTTACCATACAAAACCTTGCGGATTTGTCAACTGTTGCCTGCCCTGCGATCCGGCATTTTACGCTCATTCATAGACCCCACTTCTCATCTGATATGAATAGATGGGAGATCGGAGAAGGCTGATGTTAATGCAATGAGATTTGGACAAGAAGAAGCAAACCTCAATTAATCATATCGATGAGGCATAAGTGACAATGGTGCTTTACTACTCACCACTGAAAATTCAATGTTACTGAGGTTTGAATTTTCTCCATAAAGGGCATTGCAAGGATTACAGGCCTCTAGAAGTTGACTACCGGTCAGTGAAGTGAAAGGGTGACAGCATGTGGTCTTTCGCAATGGCATATTAAACTTCCCACCTTGGTGTTGCGTCTTCCTTAATTTCACAAAACTGTCTTACAAGAAGCCTTTAAATCTCTTGAAGATTTTCTGACAAAAGGGTTTTCTAGAAATCTCTTGAAGATTTTCTGACAAAAGGGTTTTTCTTTTGCTTGTGCCAAACTGTCTTACTTGTTTCTTTATATCTCTTGAAGAGTCAACAAAAGGGTTTTTCTTTTGCTTGTGGGAATAGAACCTCGTAGGGTTTTTCTTTTGCTTGTGGGAATAGAATCTCGCAAAGGTTTCTTTTGCTTGTGGGAATAGAACTTCGCAAAGCAGTTAATTTTGCTTGTGGGAATAGAACCTCGCAAAGCAGTTAGCTACTGCTTGTGGGAATAGAACCTCGCAAAGTAGTTAGCTATTTTTTGTGGGAATAGAACTTTATGGGAATAGAACCTCGCAAAGCAGTTAGCTATTTCGTTAGGTAAGCAATTTGCTGTTTAAGCGTATTGGTTCTTTTTTGTGTGTTTTAAAGCGTATTGGTTCTTTCTTGGGTCTTTCCAATTTGCTGTTTAAACGTATTGGTTCTTTCTTGGGTCTTTCCTTGTTGTTTTTGAGGTTACCCAGGAATTTGAAAGTGCGTTGGATATCACTTTGATAGTTTATATTAGAGATGAACTTGTCGAAGGAAGTAGGTTTTGCTTGTAAGATGGCTTGCCTTAAGACAGCTGACTGTCGACTCCAGGCTTGTACGTCTTCCATTCTTCCCGTCTGATCGGCAGTGTTGCGAAGGGCGTCCCTCTTTCTTTTCAGTTCCTCATGGTGCGGCGTCCCGCTTTCTTTTCAGTTCCTCAAGGTGTTTTGACTCCGTTCTTCCAGTCAGATCAGCAGTGTTGCGAAGGGCGTTTGTTCTTCCAGTCTGATCAGCAGTGTTGCGAAGGGCGTCGCGCTTCCAGTCTGATCAGCAGTGTTGCAAAGAGCGTCCCTCCCAGTCTGATCAGCAGTGTTGCGAAGGGCGTCCCTCTTACACAGTTCCTCATGGTGTTTAGACCAAAACACTCGATAGTGTCTAGTCTTGCCTCGGGGAATAGTTTTCTTTGGACAACTAATCATAATATTCGAGATATCGGTAGTTTTCTTTGCACATCTGATCATAATATTCATGATATGATCGTCAGGATGTTGGTTGAAGTTGAGGGGACTTGTGTTAAGTCCATTGTCTAAAAGGTTAGTGAATCTAGACCAGTCAGGTTCTTGAAGTTCCATGATAGCTTAGTTGGCACTTTCATTGTCTTTTGAAGGTTCCATGATAGCTTAGTTGGCACTTTCCTTGTCATGCTTATGCCCCATGATAACTTAGTTGGCACTTTCCTTGTCATGCTTTTGCTGCTGATGGTAATACTAGCAATGACTGGTTTTTGACCAGAACTAGGATCGTCAATTATTTTTCGGCGTGTGACCAGAACCAGGATCGTCAATTATTTTGCGGCTAATATGCGTACTGATGTCGCTTGAAACCAGGAGTAAGTCAGGAGTTGTTCTGGTTCCATTGTAATGCAAATATGTGGCCGGATCCTCATTGCTATAAATAAGTTCCAGAGGGTTGCTTTTTAGTATGTCTTCTATTTCTTTTCCAGCTATGTTTGTATCCTTGTAGCCCCATCTGAGAGTGGGCGTTGAAGTCTCCTAATACTATAGTTTTGTGTGATTCCAGCTATGTTTGTATCTTGTAGCCCCATCTTGTGGAGTGGGCGTTGAAATCTCCTAATACTATAGTTTTGTGTGAGAAGTCCAGCTATGTTTGTATCCTTGTAGCCCCATCTGGTGGAATGGGCGTTGAAGTCTCCTAATACTACAGTTTTGTGTGAGATGTTCATAAAGTCAGAGTTTGGACAATTCTTTGGTGG